CTACCCAGCCACAGTGTCCATAACACTACGAACTGGATAATGTTCCATCCCCCATCAAGTAGTTTTGGACCCCCAAGCCATTTATGTTGCTCAAAAAGCATTAAACATGAATTATCCAGCACATATTGCACGCCCCACCACTTGTAGCATTTCATCCATAATCTAAAAGCCACATTGCATTGAGCAAAAATATGATTGGGCGTCTCAATTGATGAATCACACCAGCAGCAACTTAAATTAGAGTTTGCATTGCAAATTCCTCGAATTGAAAGGTTATCTTTTGTAGGGAGTTTCTTGTGAAGCAGTTGCCAACAAAATACACTTACTTTAGGTGGAATGGAGGCTTTCCACACCCTTATGAAGTTAGTTGCTGCCTTTGGTTCTCCCTTAAGGATCCATGAGTAAGCTGATTTTGTTATGTAATTCCCTGAAGTTTCTAGGCGCCATTGCCATCAATCTTCCTTGTTATGTGTTGGAGCTCTTAATTTCAGCATCTCAACCAACTCTCTTTCAAAGTCCTCCTCCCATGAACGAAGTGGGAATTTCCAAGAAAATTTCCATTGCTAGCAATCCTTCGACCAGGATCCCATGTCTCTAATGTTGCAGTTTTGATTTGTAGCTAGCAGGAACAAACGAGGGAATTTGTTAGATAGAGCATACCCTTCTACCCACACATCAGTCCAAAACTTAACCTTCTCGCCATCCCCCAAGTCTACAACAAAACCCAAGCTCAGCCAATCCTTCTTAATACCCATCCCTTCATCTATCTTGCAAACATCCTTCCACCATTTTGAGCCTACATATCTACCCTCCCTTAAGTAAGATAACCAATTCCCCTCACCACTCCCATATATGTCAGATAAAACTCTCCTCCACAATCCCCCCTTCTCGGTAATCAATCTTCCCCACCATTTTCCTAGTAATGACATATTAAAGCACAATAAGTTTTTTATACCCAACCCCCCATCGAGCTTGCTTAGGCATACCTTCTCCCACGCAACCCAAGCAACCTTCTTTGTCTCCGTTGTCCCCCCCCAAAGAAATCTTCTCCTAATTTTATTTAACTCATTGATAATGCTTTTTGGAAAGAGATAGAAGGACATTAAGAACACCGGTAGGCTGGACAGCATAGAGTTTATGAGAGTTATTCTACCTCCCAAGGATAGGTATCGGCCCCTCTAAGAAGATAATTTTCTTTTGAAAGTGTCGATTAGTGGCTTCCATGTATTTACTCTTCTAGGATCTGCTCCCAAAGGAATACCTAGGTACTTACATGGCAAGGACCCCACTTTACAATTTAACAGACATGCCATATCCTTTTCCCATAAGTTACCTGTATTTATGTTAATCAGTGAGCTTTTCCCATAGTTAATTTTCAGCCAAGAGACCAACTCAAAAGCCCTCAAAATACATTTTGTAGTCTAGATATTTTCTTCTATTGCTTTCCCTATTAATAGGGTGTCATCTGCGAACTGCAAATGGGAGATGCGAAAGCCCCCTCCTCCAATTGGGACCCCTTCAAAGAGTTCTTTCGCAACTGCCGACGATATGATGCCATTGAGGCCTTCCCCAACAATTAAAAACAGAAAAGGAGCTAGCGGGTCCCCTTGCCGTAATCCTCTGCTCATGACAAACTCCTTTGTTGGGCTACCATTGAGCAATACTAAGATTGAGTTAGTTTGCAAGCATTTGTGGATCCACCCCTGATTAGTTAATTATTACTAAGTGAAATAATTTTATTAATTTTGCTCTAAAGTAAAGGTGTGTGCGTTTGTTTCTGTTCAAATAAGATACAAATAGAGTTTTATACTTCAAATATATATATATATATATATATATATGCATTTCTAAACACTTTAATAAATCAACATGTAAAAAATTTTTTTTAAAGATATTT